GCGTCCCCTCTTCCTCCAGCCGGCCTGGCGAAACCCTTCCCTGCAGGCCCCCGCGCTCTGGGGTGGTGGCGAGGGGTTCAGCCCCTTCCAGCTTGTCAGCCCTGCTGTGGTTCGCCGTGTGCGGGGCCACCGGGTTACCTCCGATGCGAGGGAAGCTGCTGAGTTCAGACAGTCCAAGTTAAGCTTGGGAGCGGTGTTAGTCTGGCCTGAGGGGTGAATCCGGCCCGAGGGTGAATCCAGCCCTGGTGTTTTGGGACCAGGGATAAGTGGCTGTGAGTTCCTAAGAGCAGAAACAGCCGCAGCCCCGTCGGAGGTGGCTAGATCAGCGCTTAGGAGGGACAGTGCGGGACAGCCGGGTGATGCTCTAACCTGCTGGTTCCCCGCAGGTGACATGGAGAAACACCTGCGCCTCTTCGCAGAGCTGCTGCCTGACTGGGTCAGTGTCCACACCATCAGGACAGACACTTACATCAAACTGGACAAGGGCAAGGACCTCAATGTCATTGCGGAGAGACTTGCCCAGGCAGCCAAGGAGGCAGAAGCCCCCTGAGCCTGCTGGAGGGCTGAGCCGTCTCGTGTGTGACCTGCGCTGTAGATGTAGCAAGCTCTGGATGCTGTCCACAGGACTGGTGGGACTTTTGTAGGCTGCCGGGCATGTCTGAGGGTCCAGGAGCTGGGAGGTTCACCCTCAGGGATGCCTGAGGTTGCAATGAACAGGCCTCACTTCCACTATTTCCTCTGCCACGGTCCATCAGGACATAACTCCCCCAACCCTCGAGAGCTCTGAAGGTGAGCAGCCTTGGGTGCCATGATGCCCACCTCAGCAGTGAAGAGGAGCTAGCAACCTCTTCTTGACTTACCATGTTCTCCTGAAGGTTTGATGCAAGAGCTTTCTTCCATTAACTGAGTCTGGGGGTGTGGAGGCAGGACTGGGTACAGTGAGAGGGTGACAAGGAGGAAGAAGTGAGAGCAGTCACAAATTGCTGGTGTTTTAGAGCTCTGGGCCTTGTTCTGTTTTTAAGGGAGGGAAACACAGCTCCAGCTCTTGCTGGAAATGACTACAGGACTTGTCAAAACATCTTTGTATTAAATGGTTTAAATATAGCTGACTCGTGTTAACCCTGTGCTCTTCCTCCTTGATCGGCTCTGCTGGAGCACCACGGCTCTCCATGGCAATGGCTTGTGCGGGGAAGGGCTGGGTTGTCATCCAACTCCTGGAGAAAGACTTGCTGGAAAAAATGAGCAGGGGTTTGCAGAGAACTAAATGCAGCTTTTGTAACTACGGCTCAGTCCAGGGCTGTGGGGGACCTGCAGCACCTCTCCCGCTGGAGAGGGGAGCTGACGGGGCTGAGGGCATGCACGGGTGGCTTTCACGCAAGGGAAAGCCCAAGCTCCCTGCAGTGGGGAGCAGCTGGATGGGGCTGGGGAAGACAGACAAGGCCTGGGGCCACCTCACATGTACAAGGAGGGTGCTGCTTCCTGCAGAGGTGCAGGCACCGTGCTGGGTCGCTGCGTGCTGCAGGACTGCCACCCTCCGCATGGGTGCTGGG